TTTAATACATTTGTAACAGGAAAGGGATGATGCTACAAAATACATATGCAACTCTTCACCTATACTCTTTCCATAATGATTCTTTTAAAATCAATTAGAATGAATGTTAGCTGATTAATTTTTACTTCATGATTTCAAAAGAAAGCTGATTTCCATTATGCCTTGTCAACGACTGCAATATGCTTTAAATGACATTTTTGCTTGCTTTTAAGCTACTAGCTAAAAATAAAAATTAGTGGTTTTGAGGAAACCTAAAATTTTTTTTGAGATGCCATGTAAGCCAAACATCTCTTAAGATTATTTTATATTGTGAAAATTTTTATATAGTATTGTTACTCTAACCAGATAAATGCATTTATTGATAATAAGGAATAGCTATAAATAAAATAATCATTTGTATGATTTCAATGAAAAATCAGTTTGAAATTATACATATAATTAGTATCAGAAGACTGTTGGGCACAGGATGCTATGAGAATGAATTTTAACATTCAATATTTCTTGCTCTTATTCTCTTTGTATTGCTTTCCCAAAACACTTGAGGGAAGGTACTTCACAAAGAGCAGAAATCTATTTCTCACAGTTCTCGAGGCTGGGAAGTCCAGATCACATGCTGACCTTGGGGGAGAGATTTCATAGCTTAGCATACCACAGTAGAACAGAAGTGGGAGGGTAAGAAAGTGGCAGGAGGATGCCAGTCCACCCTTCCACAGAGAACCCATTTTCATCATAGTAGCACTAACTCATTTGTGATCAACGCGTTGCCATGAGCCATGAGGCTGCACATGCCAAGGGGATCAGGGTCCAGCACGTCAGCACTGTAGGGTACATTCACTCCATCCAAATACGTAAATGGAATGAGCTAAGGTCATGTTCAGAAAAGCTTCAGAGGAGCTTATATCAAGAGAATTGGGCCAATATAAAATGTCATAAAGACTATCACAGGGAATCTTTATATTCAGGGAGAATGATGATATCTTGAAATAATTCACTGAGTGCTCATTGAGCATTCACTAACAGGTAATCTGCCCATTTCTAAATTTTTTATGGATCTTAACTTTAATCTCGTTTTCATTAATCAGAAAAAATTTAAACCACTTTGCTGAAGAAATAAAGACAGTGCACATGAATATCACTTAACTTAAAATTGTTACACCTGTAAGCTGAGTTCTTTTCCTTAACAACCAAATGACCAAAAAGGCTAAAAATTTTCTGATCACTAATGCTATAAAAAAGTGTGCTTCTGACAATTAATATGAGGGCAGACTCCAGATATGTTTGATTGAGTTAAAAACTTTAACAGCTGGAGTCACAAAACTAGCAATGTGTTCAACATACTACGTCAGTATGAAGGTGGGGTGTGTACATGCATATATAATATGAATAAAACTCAGAACTTAAGACAATGATGGGAAAGAAATATGCCCTGGAGAAGTCCTTGACTTGGATTCTTTCATTTACAATAGTAGCGGAAACACACACACACACTCTCTGATCTTCCTAGTCCAATTCTCTCATTATCTAATGCACTGAGGTGTGCTTTTCATGGAATTAAACCTTTACCCTATCCACATTAATTCAGACTTTTAACAATCAAGTCATGAAATTCATGTACGGGCAAGACTGCCTCAGTAGCCTTTGCCTATTGAAGCCCTTTATTTTCTAAGATTTCTCTTCAGCCATCATGAGCTATGGTCTTTCTTACATTATTCAATAGCGCTCCAGTGAGGGTTGAGAGGGAGGGCAAATCAGTGAGCATCTTCTATGCTTCAACCAATATTTAATGATGGCAAAATGGGGAAAAACAAGCAGCAATTATGGCCAAATAGGAGAAACTATAAGTTGCTGTGTAGAATGATTCTTCTATGTTTCCCATTGAAGTTGTGTTTTGGGTCAACTTTGTCCTGTCCATGATAGATTTGTGAGCTCTCTCTTGTCTTTTTAGTGGAAATACTGCTTTGTTTTGATTTAGTTTTGTTTTTCATGAAACCTAACAATATCTGAGGATTTCCCTATGGAGAGCTCTTTTTATTTTTCATTTCTTTTATTTTTTACTTTCTGGCATGCAAAATATTAAGGTTACAAATGAAAGTGTCTCCATTACTTGGTTGCTATGGTGAAAAGGATTTGGGGACATAGGTTGGAGATCTGGATTTTTCAGCTCCTCTTCCTTTAAAAGGGGTTGTATAAATTCTTGCAAACTGTGAGCACCTCTATAATACACACCTACAGCAGCATATCTGTACGAGCAGGCTAGTATTCTCCCAATCTCTTCTTATAAGAAACCCACCAAGATGGTGTTGGCACTTTTTCTTACTGAGTCATGACACCTCTGTCAGAATAGAGATCCACAGTGCCGAATTAACAAGTAATACTTGCCATAACAGTTAAAATGGTCTTCCATATTTGGCTACATGATCTCTAAATGACCATTTAGATCTAGAATTATGTCTTCTGATTGTAATTTTTATTATTCCTATCTTTATTTTGCAAAACTTTCACTTCTTGCTAACGTGCTACAATGTGTAGCGGGATAGGCAAAGGAGAGTCTAAAAATAAGGCATTTACATGTATAAAAATCATTAGTGTTGGTATTTCTTTAGTTTGTGTTCTTACCAACAAGGGATAACAGGCAGCATGGTAGCCTCTGCCATCCACTAGGAATAATTTCACAACCCCTGTGCATGCCAGAAACTCCAGATAGTACAGAACTCTACATGTACTATGGTTTTTCAACTCCAAATGTACCTATTAAAGTTTAATTTATATATTCAAAATATGAAATTAAAATGATAGTAAAATAGAAAGCATAACAGTATGCTTTAATAAATATGATGTGAATATGGACAAATAAAATAACCTACTGGACAGTTCTTACTCTTCTTGTGATAATGTGAGATGATGTAACAGCTGCTGGATGATGTAGAGGTGACTGATGTAAGTATAGTAACAGGGTTAGGATGTCACTAATGTTACATGAACACTGTGACACCTTGACAGAATGTCCAGCAATTGATAGGCCTTCTAAGTGACCAGCAGGCAGCCCAATAGAGCTACTAAGATTCACTACCTGGATGAGATGGAACAGGATGGTGTGACACTTCATCTACCTAATCAACATAGCATGCAATTTAAATTTAATTTTCTATTATTTTCAGTATGCTATTGATTACAAATAAATGAAACTATTGTAATATTTGGAAGAAAAAAGACTATAACTGGAAAAATTTATCTGCTGTCCATAATTAATACACAACTTTTCAGTTTTGAGCTCATATTTCAAATTCTAAAGATTGAAAGGGATCATTTTCCTATAAAGTTGTACATGAAACTGAATTTTTCTTGAAGCTTTTAACTGTATAATTTCTGTGATTCAGATATATAAAATGTTATTTTTATTTTATGAAGTGTAATTATTGGAGTTTAAAGATTGAATTAAACTTTGCACACTCCAAGGCATTCTTATTTTTAACTGCTAAATGAATTGAACTTTCAAACAAAATGCATCTCAAAAGTTAATTTTTATTTCTATTTATAAATCAGTAAT